TGCAGTCATTTATCCATACTGATTCCAGTGTATCAGCTACATTGACTGATAGGAATAAATAGACTACCTTTAGAAAAACTCACTGCACACTTATTATTATTATTATTGTTATTATTGAAAGTATTTTTGCAGGATGATATCTTTCAATAATTATTCATGGCTCCAGGATTAGGTGATTCAAAACTAGTTGTAGGATGAGACTGCAGTTCAAATTTGGATTCCTTAACATTTGTAATATTGAGATGTTTTTCCTCCATCCCTTTTTAAAATTAATTTTGGAAGGTTCTGTTCTTTATGGCATTTAATATTTAGATTCATTTGAATCCAGAAAATAAATTCGGGGTTGCCAAATCTGATAAACTGTCAATGGTCACTTCAGAGGGCAAAATATTTTCTTTCTAAGATAGAAGAACCACCAATCATTGTTTTAAGTTGCCTGTGCTTCAGCATCTGTTTTAAACTTATTTTTCTTTGATTATGAGATTCTAGTCAGGGATCATAACATAAGCATAATGGCAATGCAGGCTGACTTGGCCTATTGAAAGATGAAAGTTAGTGAGTTCAATGACAACAGGCAAAGTGTTATTTTTCCTCCTTTTGATCATGTTATGCTGGATTGCATGTAAGTACTGAATGCTGAAATAATTGGCTGATACGATCTGCATCAAAATATACATTATGGTTAATGGTTTCCAGTTTAATAAGCAGCTCAAAAATGGTTGTGTTGCCTGAAGCACCCTGCAAAATATAGGAAAAAAAATCTACTTGCTACTTGACTTCTTATTATTTTTGTATTGCCACTTAGCAAAAATAAGCATCCACCAGGAGAGACCATGAAAAAATTTACCAAAATCCAATTCCCAGTAGATCCATTTCAGGTTGCAAGCTTTCTCTATTGATTTCTTTAGGAGTTAATTTGTTCTCCCAATTCAAATCAGCAGCAGGCCTGAATAGTCTTGTACTGGCCAAAAAAGTCATTTTCTTGCACTTTCCCACTTACTTGCTGCATTATTGAATTGCTCTCTTTCAACCCAGATTCTTCTTCCATATAAAATAGTGTTATAATGCAGGAAACAGTTAAATTATTACTTCCCCGACACTTGGCTTTCATTTCAAAAAAAAAAAAAGAAAAAGCAATTAATACAAAGTACCCCTGGCAGAGTTGAATAATGGACACACACACACACACACACACACACACACACACACACACACAAACCCAGAATAAACAAATCTGGAACAAGTATAACCATATTGCTAATCTCTGGGTTCCGACGGATGCCCTAATTAAATCTGTAATTAGTCTTAGAAAAGAATGTGATTTAAAAAAAAAATAAAACATCCAAATGAAATTTATCATAGATTAATAAAATTTCAGAAATTTCTACAAGTTTCCAAATCCTAATGCAAATCATAGGTCAGAATTTACTGTTTAAATTTCATACAAGGCAGCAAATTGAGCACAGAGTTTTAAAAATTGTACTCTAAGCTAGATAGCCCTTAATCATCTAAACCAATGTCTCTCAAACTTGACCTCTTTAAAATGTGTGACTTCAGCTCCCAGAATGTCCCAGCCAGTGTTAACAGTGCTAACCAGTGGTGGGTTGCTATTGTTTTGCCCCGGTTCAGGCGACGCGGTAGCAGTGGCAGTGGGAGGCTCCACCCACCAGCCCGGATGTCATCAAATATGCTCTGTGCATGCGTGAGCGAACCGGTAGCAAAGGTAAGTGAAATCCACCACTGGTGCTAACACATCTTAAAGTTGTCAAGTTTGAGAAAGACTGGTCTAAACCATAGACTTAAAGTGTATCTGCTTCTATATTGTATCATGTGTTGAGCAGTGCCATTTTGTTTTGTTTTTTAGAGAATTGAAGTGTTTCTGAAATATATAAGCCAAGTGAACAGGAAAAAAAAAATAGTATACAAATTCAAATCTTTATACTAAGCAGAATGAGTGAATAGGATAAGATTCCCCAAGATAGACTTTTGATTGCTACTTTCTATTTTGGACTGCCTTCAGATCTTGTTACAAAATGCAAAGCAGTAATAGAAATATTATTAATTCATTGCCGCTTTTTGCAGCATTCCAAAATGCTGCAAAAAGCATTTTCAGCACTCCAGAAATAGCTGGCATGTTCTTGGCCTGAACAAAATGGTAGAGATCTTTTCTATTGGATTAGAAATCCAATAAATAAGCAAACAAATAAATCTCAGGCCAAAGTTAAAACTAGCTTAAAAGCAACAGTATCCTGCATTTATATATTTGTCAACTTCATTGTCTCTCATATGACCTACCTTCATAATAATAATATGTTTAAATAGTTGGGGTGATTATTTAGTAGCAGGAAAGTCTCAGACGGAACAATTCTGTTTTGAGGTAAAAATGGATCTCTTGCTGATAAGCTGATAGAGAATGCAGATTTAAACATATTAATATGAAGTTAGGTCATATTAGACACGATGAAACTGACAAGTATATAAATGCAAGATTCTGTTGCTTTTAAGCTAGTTTTATCTTTGGCTTGAGATTTATTTGTTTGCTTGTTTATTGGATTTCTAATAACTCAGTGGTGATGCTGGACAATGTACAAATTAAAAACACTACCACAATGCATTAAACCAAGTGAATTAAAAGACAAATGTACTGAGGGGGAGAGACATACACCATAAACAATCAACATAATACACTCCAGGAAGATGTATCCCAATTTACCTTAAATTGGTTTGGAAAAGAAAATGAAAAGAAAAGAAAAGCAGGAAGAGGATTCCTTAATTCTTTTGAGGAATTTTAGGAGAAAATGTAAAACATATATGCACATTTGGGGAAGACATGAATAAGGATCTTGTTTTTGATAAAAAAAATAGTTGGTGATCGTTTCAATTTCTGTTGTTTTCATTAGACAACTGTGGGTCACTGCTATTAAATCCAACACATACAATGCACACATGCACAATATTTAAAATATATTAAAAGATCTTGTCAGCCAAAATATAAACATGGAACAATGGTATGTCAAACGGTTGTCACAACATTTTTATTCGTAATTTATATATATATATATATGCAATATAAACCTAATCCTTGCATCTTAATACTGTATTTGGACACTCATATTCATGTGCAGATGGATTTCTTTTCGGCATAGATCTGATTTAACAGTGTGCTCTACTCCATCAGATAAACATCATTCAGCACTATTGCATTGCTCTCAGTGGGATTGGATGACCTAAAAAAAGAAATGTAATGTAACCACTGAGCAGTATATTGTTCTGCTATACTTAGCTCTTGGTCTTCAACTGAAGGTTGGATCTACTATTTGATCACAGCTTGACTGAAAGTTGTAATAGCTGCCCTATGGTTATACAGATGTAAGGTATCACATGTGTCCCATTTTGCTTAATTTGTTGCCTCAGAAAAGTTGAAGAGTTTCCTGAACAAATTTAACCTCTTTGGAGTTTTTAAACTGGTCAAGGGATCTTCTAAAGAACATAAATCTCATGATCCACATACACACTGTAGGGATGTGAATATTCTTATACCTTCTATGCAACACAACAGCTTGTTAAATATACCTGTCACCATTTTTAGGCTTGGGACTCTTTTTCATGTTTAAAACAATAACTTTTCATACAGGTACACTGAAACAGAAAACGTTGAAGTAAAACAAGTAGAGCAACATAAATGTATGATTATCTGAGTTTTGCACCAAATGCAAATGTTGCATATTTTTGTAAAAAAAAAATCCAATTAATTAACCCCTGCTTTTAAAGGAAGGAATAGTGAAAGGGCTTAATTTTCATTAATAACAACTTTCTTTCATAAAAATTATGAAATTATGATCAAATTATCAAATTATCTTGCTGGGTCAGCTGTTGGGTATTTGGAGAAATTGGAGGCTAGGAAAAGATTGGGTAAATAAATAAACATCAACAGGTAGATAACCTTGCAGAAAATGTGGTTGAAGACCATAACCAGATCATCATGAAACCTTTTCTGTTATCTACATTTCCCGTGAAAATACATGGAAAAATCCCATTTGTGGAAAATGAATTTAGGGTTAGGGTGAGGTCTCTATGAATTCAGAGAGGAAAATGGACATTGCCAGTGGATTTGGAGTAGATGGGTATGGTTAGGAGGGTCTGTATTTTTTAAGACTGCCTTATGTATTTGCTAGTAAAATACATCCATCATTTCCTTTTTAATCAGTTCAAATTACTCATAATGCTATAAATCTTTTCCTCACATTCAACCAGAACTCAACGCTCTATCAGTTACAATTACAATTTTGTGTTTTGCTTTATGAAAGAATAGAAAACAAGTCTCGACTTTTGGGGTGACATTCTTCAAGTATTGTTACAAAACTTGTCTTTTTCTTAAAAGTAAATATAATTAGCTCCACTAATCTGTTCTCAGATTAGCACACCAGTTCCTTGATAATACTAATTGTTATCTGTGCCTACTACAGCCATTAAAGTATTGTCCAGAAAGGTTCAGAGTGTCTGAGGTGAGGTATAATAAATTCAGAATGTTCTCCCTGTGATTTGGAAATTATACTTTTACTGAAGAAGCCTAAAACTATGCATGTTTTAGCAGCTTTATTCCCTTGTTAATTCACATCCAGTATCTGTTAATTGCAGATCTTTTCAAAGTTGCTATTACCATGTCATCTTATATTTTTGCAATTGTAAACCTTTTCTAAGTGAAGTGCTGTTGCTATTTGCTTTTTTCCCATTATGTCTAGACCATTTCTCCAGTTTATCAAAATCATTTTGACTTTTATTTTTGGTTTAAAAAATGGAATATTGGTTATACCCACAGTTTTGCATTGTTATGAATTTTGAAAATATTTCCTTTATCTATTAATCCCAATAATTAATGAAAATGTTCTAGATTCCAGGACCAAACGTGGAAGATTTTCATGTCAGACATTTGAGTTAGTTCAGTTAAAAAAACAGACACTATGAGGATTTCTGAAATGCTCCTTTACTCTGTCACAGGTTTCTGTCTTTCCCATCTTGCATTAAACAAAATCAAGGTGGGTTTTATTTTAAGTTTCTTTGTCATGCATGCTTCCTTACATCTTTGGACTGTATAATCCCTTGTCTCAGTGTCTCTTAACAGCTTGCTGATACATTCTCCAAGGTGACCTCTAAATTTAATTCCATCCCATGTGAACCATCCTCCAGTTTGATGAAGAACAATAGAAGAGAACTGTTTAAGTACAGTTGTCAAACTGGCTGTTGCTCCACCTAAGAGACATAATGTTGCGTCTATATTTATTTAGCTTGGCCATTAAAATGTCATGGGGGTATTTTGTCAAGTAGTTTGTTGAAATCAAAATATACTACATCTACACCTACACCTACAATATTCCCCAGTCTATTGAGGAAGCTATTAAATCAACAATGTAATAAAATTAGTCTGATGAAACTTGTTTTAAACAAATCCATTTTAGTAATAACTACATTGTTTGCAAGGTCTATACAAATGCATTATTTTGTTATCTAGTTTATTAGAGTCCCATTTATTAATATCATACAGATTAGTCTGTGTTTTCTGGTGTTATAAACTGTATGGGCAGACTCCTTTTTCCAAGAATTCCATAGTAAGAATTACTGTATTATTCAGAGTATAATCCCCCCTAAAAGAGGATGAAAATTTGGGTGCGTCTTATACAATGATTGTAGCCGAGCAAATCTGCTGGCCTCCACCCTTTGGCCTCTGCCTCCCAGCAATTTGCCTCCTTGCAGCAAACAGCAAACAGCCCATTTCAGTTACGGCACAGCCTGATTAGCACAAACATCTGATTGTCGGTTGGATCGGCCTCCTGACCATCAGCTGTTTCAGGCTGCAGCGATTGCCATTGCCTATAGCTGCCTCTGTGTGCCTCATTTTCAGTCTCCTCTGTTTGCTGTTTGCTGCAAGGAGGCAAATTGTTGGGAGGCAGAGGCAGATTTTTTTTTCTTGTGCTAATCAGACACAAAATGAAAATGAAAATGGCAAATTGTTGGGAGGCAGAGGCAGATTTTTTTTTCTTGTGCTAATCAGACACAAAATGAAAATGAAACTAAAACAGGCTGTTTGCTGTTTGCTGCAAGGAGGCAAATTGCTGGGTGGCAGAGGCAGATTTTTGTTTTCCTGTTTTCCTCCCCAAAAAAGGTAGGTGCATCTTATAGTCTGAAGCATCTTATACTCCAAAAAATATGGTAATTACAATATGCTTCTACTAGTCACTCTGGACCTTCTAATGTGTTCTATACTGTTCTTACGTTCCATACTCAGGACTTTTTCTTACAGGCCAGTTCTAGGAAAATGGAAAGTAAAATGCTTATTGTGGCCAAAATTCAGAAACATAAGGGATAGGTGAGTATGTGTACAAACATACATACAAAGTAGAATTCAAAGAAAAAAAACTTTATAAAAACATACCAAATTTCTAAATATGAAAAGGTATTGAGAGAAAAAATATATAAGATAAATAAGATAATGCAATCATTACATACATATGACAGTTCCTATCAGTGGGCTTCTAAATCTTGCATTTTCCAATTACTTCTCTGATCTGCATTCCTTGGAGAAAACAAATTTCATGTACCAGCAGCTTCGGCTAGTTCATATTCATTTTGGTGTTATAGTAAATAGTGACCAACTAAGATAAATTTCCTTTTTGTCCTCTTTGAGAGAATAATTCCATAATCTCTGTTCTTCAAGATTCTGGTCTTTCACTTCTGTAAGGACCTCAATGCTATTTCTTAGTCTTTTAAAAGAAAGGAGGTGGCAATTTGGTTCCAATATTCAAATGAAATTACACAGTAATAATAGCTACCCTGTCTCTAAATTTCATTTCCCCCATAAAAGTCCTAATATGTCGCTTCATTGTTAAGATGGTGATAGAGACAGTGTTCCTGAGAGAGATGAGTAAAGAATATTGGGATTGCATGCCAAAAATATATACTAGTAGTTTCACCCAAGATTTGAAATTCATCCCAGCTGTTCAGCTAAAACAAACAGGAATATATAATAAATAAATAAATAACTTTATTGTCATTGTACGTGTATACACAGTATACCCATACAACGAAATTCACTTAACACCCAAAGACCAGGTCCAACATACATAACAATCCCCAAACACATTCCCACCCACCTCAATTCTCCACCCCTAAACCACCCAAACATCCACACAACAGACCAAGTAATACAGCTCACTGATGGTGGCCCTTTAGTTCATTGTTGAGTGCAATTATAACTCTAGGATAAAAATTATTCAGAAAATGTGTGGTCCAAGTTTTAATTCTTCTGTATCTTCTGCCAGAAGGCAACAGTCCAAAAAGATTGTAAGCAGGATGGGAAGAATCTCTGAGAATGTTATGCAACTTTCTCAAACAGTGAGATTCGAAGATGTCGTCCAGGGCTGGTAGCTGGAGTCCTATGATATAGTTTTAATGATTCTCTGTAGAGCTTTTTTATCTGCTACATAGCTGCTCTCATACCATGCAAGAATGCCGTATGTCAGGACACTCTCAATGATGCTGTGATAGTAGGACAGAAGTAGATGCTGAGATAGATTTATTTTCTTGAGCATTCTCAGGAAGTACAGCCTCTTCTGTGCCTTCTTCACAAGCATGTTAGCATTCATAGTCCATGAGAGGTCCTCCGAGATATAAATGCCCAGAAATTTAAAACTACCACCCTCTCCACCTCCTCACCATTTATGTACAATTGTAGATGTACATCTCTCTTCCTCCTGAAGTTAATTATAAGTTCTTTAGTTTTTGTGGTGTTAAGTGTGAGATTATTTTCATTATACCACAAAGTCAGCCCTTGTACTTCCTTCCTCTAAGCAGACTCATTGTTCTTATTAATGAGCTCCATCACTGTTGTATCATCTGTAAATTTAATAATTGTGTTGGTGTTATACAATGGGTGCAGTCATGTGTGTACAAGGAATAAAGGAAAGGGCTTAGCACACAACCCTGGGGGACTCCTGTACTTAGTATCAGAGTAGAGGAATGGTGAGATCCCATCCTTACTGACTGTGGCCTATCTGTCAGACAATCCCTTATCCACAAACAAATCGTCTGATTTATACCCAAATTGGACATTTTAGAAAACAACCTGTTGGGTAAAATAGTGTTAAAGACAGAGCTATAATCCACAAATAACAGCCTTGCATATGTCCCCTGTTGTTCCAAATGATTCAATACAGTATGGACAACAAGAGACATAGCATTGTAAGTTGATCTATTACCCCTATATGCAAATTGGTATGGGTCCAAAGTGGATGGAAGACTAGTCTTAATATAGTTCAACACCAGCCTCTCAAAACATTTAATGACAACAGATGTTAAAGCTACTGATCTATAATCATTAAGGGATACCACTACTGTCTGCTTAGGGACTGGCACTATAATGGATGTCTTTAGGCAGGTAGGGATAGAGCACCGTGACAGGGATAGATTGAAAATATCCAGATTGAACACTCCAGCTAGCTCTGCAGTGCAGTCCCTGACAACTTGTCTCAGAATTCCATCAGGCCCAGCTGCCTTCCGGATATTAACATTCTATATTAGGTAGTGGCAATATAGGGAAATCATCTAGAATCAGATAATCATTTTAGTGGCAACAATAGAGTCTACAGAGTCTACAGAGGAGAATGCAATGATATACCCATACTGAATTTTGTCAATAGAAGATAGATAGATAGATAGATAGATAGATAGATAGATAGATAGATAGGTGGGTGATAGATAGATGGGTGGGTGGGTAGGTGGATGGATGGATGGATGGATGGATGGATTTTCTATGTTGAAAAAAATCATAGATAGATAGATAGATAGATAGATAGATAGATAGATATAGTCAGTCAGATGGTACCCAATATGCTAAAAAGGAATAAGTGGGTATCTTTTGGAATAGCAATGGTCCTTATAATGTGACTAGCTTACAAACTTTGGAATATCTTGTTGCTGATGTTGCCATGCAGGAAAAGAAAATCTAAACATGCAAGAATAGATTGAAATGGGAACATGGAATATAAGAATTATAAACATTAAAATTCTCATCATGGTGAAATATGTAATGATTTGACTACATCAGTTAACATTTTATATATAAATATATCTATGTCTGTCTGTCTGCCTGCCTGCCTGCCTGCCTGCCTGCCTGCCTGCCTACCTACCTACCTACCAAGAAATGTTGGTTGTTTGCATTGTTAGGAAGCATATATCAAGAATAGTACTTAGGTACAATGCAATTAATGACCGAATCACATCAATTACTTTGTGTGCAACCCTTTAATATGGCAATTATCAAAGTTTATGTTCCAACCACTGAGGTAGAACAAAAGGTCTGTGGGCGTGTATGTATGAATTTTATGGTCAAGTTCAATTTGAGGTTAGCAAAATATGAAAGCATGATCTACTGCTTATGATTGGTGACTGTAATACCCAAATTGGAAATATTAAAGAGAAAAATATATACTTTGGCTGTACAGACTCAGAAACTGAAACAAAGCCAAATGATGGTTTATCCATTTCTGCCAATCCCACTTCTAACACAGATTTCAAAATGCAAATGATGTCTTTATATATGAACATCATCAGATAAAAATCAAATTGACTACATTATTGGTAGGAGGAGATAGAAGAGGTCAGTTATAATAGCAAAGACAGGGCTGAAGCACGCATGTAGAACAGATTACAAATTGCTCATTTGCAAGATAAGGTAAGATGGAAGAAGAAAGCCAACCTGTTTTCACAATATGATTCTCAATGTATATTTATCATTTTTAGGAGAACATCAGGAATCAATTTAAATTCTGGAGCATCATGATATGGAGGCAGAGGAACTGTGGAATGAACTTAAAGAAGTTGTTAAGGGTAACTGTGAAAAGAGCCTGCCAAAGACCAAGAAACAGAAGGCAAACTGATGTCAGAACAAATGATGGAAATTGCCAAGAGTAGAGAAGCCAAAAGTATGAAAGACAAAGAAAAGAACTTAACAAAGTGTTTCAGAAAGCTGTTAGAAAGACAAGAAGCAGTATTATGAAAACATCTGTAAAGAATTAAAATCAAAAACACACAAAGAAACAAGGAAAGTCTTCCAAAAAATTTCTGAACTCAGAGGAGCATGCCAACTCAAATTAGTATGATAAAGAATGCCAATGGGGAGATAGTAATTTATTCCAAGAAAATTAAAGATAGGAGGAATATACTGAGTTTCTGTACAGTAATGTTGTCAACATCTAGGATACTCCGTACTTACAAAAGTAGTAGAAGATGAAGTTAGATTTGAATTGTGGTGATTATTCAGTTGGAAGTCTAGGGGAGTTGTTGGAATATCTACAGAAATATGTCAGTCAACATAAGAAGAATCAGTAACAGTTCTAATCAAACTATGCCAGCAATTCTAGATAAATCTGAATGACACAAAGGCCCACAGATTGAAAGACATCAATCTACATATTAATACCAAAAAAGGAGACTTAACAAAGAGGGCAGGCTACTGTACGGTATCCTTTATTGTATATGCTAGCAAAACAATGCTTAGGGTCATTCAGTACCAGATTGCCAGCTATTCAATCTAGCTTTAGAAAAGCCAGGGACCATTAAGACATAATTGCCAATGCATGCTGGAGAATCCAAAGAATGCCAAAAAGATGTCAGTGTGTGCTTTGCTGATTACAATGTCTGATGACTATGTCAAGTTGTGGAAAAGGAGAATCCCAGAACTTGTCATTGTCCCCATGCAAAACCTGTGCCCAAGTCAGGAAACCGCAGGACAAAACATGGTGAAACAAATTGACTCCAGGTTGGCAAAGAAGACAGACAAGACTAAATATTTTCTTCTTATTTATTCAGCCTATATGCTGAATACATATTGAAGGAAGTGGAACATTTAGTTTGGTTTTAATATTGGAGGAAGGAATAAATGTAAATAACTTGTGCTAAATTGATAACACACATTGAAGCCTGCTTTAAAGATAGCAACTGTAAGGCCTGAAACTGTTGAAGCTGAATAAAGTACAGTATAGTAATTCCCAGCTAAGGAAAACCATTTTGGAAACAATTCCCAACATCTTTCCAGGATCATGATGATACTAGTCAAGTTTCTATTATCTTTAAAAGGCAGGAGACAAAAGGCAAGAGCTAAAAGCCTGAAGCATAGATATATAAAGTTGTGCATTCCTGCTGTGGTATGAGTAATCACTCAGACTGTTTAAGCCTTCATTCTAATTTATTTTTGTTTCTAATCTATTTGTATCATGTAGTGGAGCCAGATTGGGGATAAAGCATCCATCTTGGTGTTCCTTGATCTTTTAGCAGTTTTCAATACTGTCAACTACAATATTCTTTAGACTCACTTTGGAGTTTAGTGGCATTGTTTACAACAGTTCTTTTTTCTTTGTGACCAGATTTAGTTGATGCTGATAGGTGGTAAGAATTCACCCACCACCGTTCTTTTGTGGTAAGCCATAGGGTTCCCTTTACCATCTGTATAAAAATGATGGGTGAGGGAAACATGTATGGTTGGGAAACAGGTATCTTCAATATGCTGATGATACATGTGAGTCTGAGCAGACCAAGCAATGCTATCAAAATCCTGGTCCAATGCATGGAGGCTAAATGTGTCTGGATGAGGAGGAAGAGACTCGGTTTCAATCCTAAAAAGACTGATGGGCTGCCTTTTTGGGGGGCAACTTCTGGCTCTGGGGATATTCCCTTGTTAGTTACAGGGGAATAGGGTTAATAGGGTTACAGTTTCCCATTCAACTTGTGTACAATTTGGTGACTTTCTTGGACTTCCAGCTCCTATTCATACAGCAGGAGGAGTACTCTGATAAACTATCCAGAGGCTACAATTCTGCGGATAGTTATAGAATGCAGTGGCATAGACAGCGATGGGGATATTGGATTATGGTCATGTGACCCAACTGCTTCATTAACTGCACTAGTTACCTGTTGGCTTTCAAGTGCAATTCAAGCTGCTGGTTATTACCTTTGAAGGAATTCACTGAATATGGCCTGACGAATCTGAATGACCTCTTATCTCAAACTGTTTCTGGCCCATCCAGTATGATCAAGTAGGATGGGTGTACTCCAGATCCCATTTATTAAACAATGTCATCTTGCAGGACCCAGGAAGCACACTTTCTCTGTCTGCCATCTGTAATGATATCTTCTCAGAGATTCAACCAGCTTCCACCCTAATTACATTCAAGAAATCACTAAAAATTTAGCTATTCTCCAAGGCCTTGGTTGTTCTTCATGTTCGTGGCTGATTTAAACAGGGCTTTAAACACTTATTTATTTTTTCTGGTATTTCTTTCAAAAAAAGTTGTATTATTTGCTACGGATTTATAATCTATTTATTTATTCTTCATAAAATTTAATGGCTTATTAAGTTACATCTTAGTTAAAACAAAAAAGTTAAACTCAAACCTTAAAACCAATGATACATGGGGAGGGCGGGTGGTGGAGTGGTGGGGAAAAGGTGGGACCTGTTATTAATCAATCTATCAATCAACTCCATTGTGCTGTTTCCCACAATTGGGTCCCAAGCCAACTGACACAGCCACATCTTTAGGCCCTTATGAAAAGATAGGAGGATTGGGGCCAACCTCACATTGAGGGGACAATATGTTGCAGAGGGCAGGAGCAACAGCAGCTGGAATACTCAGGCTACGGGACTCACAGCATGCCTCCTCTTCAATTTGCATTATTGTAAAGCAAATTTTTAAATAGTTTCTTCATTAACTGCAGACCCACAAATAGAGTAAAATGCCTCCCACTCATGTTTCCACAATGCTACCACCATGCAGATGTGATCGTGCTGACTCCCATTCTTCTCCAACTTCAGTTGCACCAATTTGAGCAAACAGGTTAAAAGTGCTTTTATAATTTGATACCGACTTTTTTTTTCCTTCCTCCGTCAGTATTGTAAGCTGCCTTGGGAATATCAGAACCTTGAAAAAAGGCTGACGGATGCATTCAATAATTAAAGAAACTGTCGGTACTTCCTATTAATGTATGGGTTTTGAACAGTGCTTGCTTAGCCTGTTTCATGCTCAAGTATGCATATGGGAGTTCAAGTCAATTGAGATTCTCATATATATTCAAAAAATATGACAGGGACTGACTAAACATGACACATTTTTATGTTCTGTTAATAGAGAATGTATTCTGGAGCATATGTTCATGATCTCTTGCCAAGAGATGAGTTCCTCCCATAGCTGCTGCTAGAGAACAGCAGAAAAACCTTCTGTTGGTGTGGCACCTTTCCATATGATGGTGGAAATTAAAAAAAGCTACAAACAGTTGATTGCAATGTACAATTCCTGCCCTAATACAACAGAGCTACTATTATTTCACCAGCTGGATTGATTCCATCCACCCTATTGGATAAATTTCAATCTTCTTGGCTGCAAGATTGAAATCTTAAAAACATGGGCACTAAGTGAATCATTATATAACAGTTCCTGAACATTATCAGAATGGAAGAGGTCTTAGTCCTATATCAGCACAGTTTAAATATCCTAGATGAAATTATCCTAGAATAATTATATCAATAAGATTTACTTTATATTAATAAGATTTACTTTAAGGCCAGATTCAATTAAGGCCAGATTGAGGCTTCCCTCAATACTTTCATATGGGAAATGTAATAAGGTTTCTATAGCTAGATGAATCCGCCTTTATGGTGACAATTCAATTGGATCCATCCTTCAAGTGTTGTTATGTTGTCCATTTTATAACAATGCCCAAGTTTTTAAAATGGCTTTAACGGTGTCTCATTTATTTCATTCTGTTTAAATATACCATATTTGTACACCTCCTTTTATTCTACCTTTTTCTTTATAATGGTGACCACCAAACCTCCCTCCCTCCCTCCCTCCCTCCCTCTCTCACACACATCCTCTGCCTGAGTGTAAAACCTCTCTATTTTTAAAAAAAGAAACAGTTTATGAATATTTGCACACGAAGAACAAAATTGGTGCTATTCTGCAGATTGGCTCAACCCAAACCTCCTAACTGTGGAAGAATCTCCAGCTAAAGTGAAAGGAGAAATGAAGAAGTTGGTGAACTTGGAGTCCTTGCGAGGAAGAAAGCAGCAGAGGCCAGACCTCCCCTAGAATTACTGAAGCCTTTATCTGGCTATTCTCAAGAGAATGTAGTCAGTCTGGTGAGAGACTTGTACATAGGCAGGCAATAATAAAGAAGAAACTCTGATCAACTCATGGTCGCTCTGGTTTCTGTCACCTTGCACAATTGACTAATGAAATCAAAGGGAAAGGCAAAGATATTTCACATGGTTTGTGACATCATAAGCATGCTATTTTTTATAAATTAGACATCACTATTTTGTAATAATACTATTACAAAATAGTAAGCTACAATCAATTCTTTGTTGTTCTTATTTAATTCCCACCATTAAGTAGAAGAACAGGAAGCAAGCTCCAGATTTTTCTTACTGCACAAGTGTTGAACTCACTCAGTCATGTTGCCATCACATGACATATTGCAACAGTTTTTCCCTTCGCAGCGCTGGGGTGTGCGTGTACTGCATATGATGCATCCAGCCTGTGAGCCGCCAGTTTGACATCCCTATTACTGTGATTTCGATGGCTATAGACTTCCTATAAAACAAATTAGTAAAATCTCTATATTTCAGGAAAAATAAAGTTACCTAGTACATTTTCTATGTTAAAATGTAAGTTATAATTTATCTTAGCTGATGGCTCAGAAGACAGAAACAAGGAAGAATCATTTTATATGTTTTTTATTGATTTAGCACCTCACGTTAAACCAATGGGATAAAAGCAGTTAAGAAAAATGGTAAAGAAATAGTAACATATTCAAAGTCTAGTAAAATGAAAAAAAATCCTACATTCTTGGTCTAATGCAAAGATCTAACAAGAAAATGCTGATCACTTTTCCGAAGGTGGAAAACATGGAAGCTAAGAAGAACACCAAATGTATTCAATAGCTTTAAGATGACACCAGAGAAATCACTCTTCTCAATAGTGAGAAACAGCTCTTTGAACTTGTGAAGATCCGTAAGAGGGTTTCTCGTGCTGATCTGATTTCCCAGGTGTAATTATTTCCTGAATAGGCAAGCTCTCAGTCACATCTAAACCCTTAAGAAATGTCTGTATAACTATCTGCCTATCTAACAATCTATAATCTCTCCGTCTGTCTGTCTGTCTGTCTGTC